CTTCTGTGCAGATAGGAATTGAACCCAATGTGTTCGCTTCTTATCTGTATAGCTATGCTGCTCTGGGCCCTGTTAAGGTGTTTATGGATACTAGAAGGTGTTCCTCTTTGGCTCATTCCTGTCTTTCCCGTCTTTTCATCTGTAAAAAGGTTTACTGCGTTCCAGTATTATTATTATTATTATTATTATTATTATTATTATTATTATTATTATTATTATTATTATTATTATTATTATTATTATTATTATTATTATTATTATTATTATTATTATTATTATTATTATTATTATTATTATTATTATTATTATTATTATTATTATTATTATTATTATTATTATTATTATTATTATTATTATTATTATTATTATTATTATTATTATTATTATTATTATTATTATTATTATTATTATTATTATTATTATTATTATTATTATTATTATTATTATTATTATTATTATTATTATTATTATTATTATTATTATTATTATTATTATTATTATTATTATTATTATTATTATTATTATTATTATTATTATTATTATTATTATTATTATTATTATTATTATTATTATTATTATTATTATTATTATTATTATTATTATTATTATTATTATTATTATTATTATTATTATTATTATTATTATTATTATTTGATTTTGATTTTGATTTTGATTTCATTTTATTATCCTGTCTGAGTCTATGACTATGTAGGACATGCAGGTCCTCTCTGCCTACAGGCCAAGGATACCTATACCAGTAGTATATCCCCTACTATGCCTCTCATACAGCTCCCCTTAGACTGTACCACCCCTCACAAGTCCTCATTCAATTATACACTTAGAGGAGCCCTTTGTCGTCATATCTCCTCACTCCAGCCAACGAAACGATGGCTATTTGCAGGTGTATGGCAGCTGGGAAAAATCGCAAAAACCACTGGGTGCGGGGCTCTCCTAATACCGACATTTGGACTAAATCCGAAGACATAGTGACCCTTCTGATGCGTTGGGAGAGGCTGGCCAGCTGGGCACTGCAGACTTGTGGGTACCTCGGGAAATTCACCCTATGCCTTTCTAGTCTCCTACCAACTCCTTCGCGAAGGTCGTGCTGAAATGTCAGAAAAGTCTTGACAGAGCATGATTGCTGTATGGTAGTCTAGCGTAACTTCTTTTGTGCCGTCCAGGGCGCTGGGGAGTGCCGTTGACTCATCGACAAAAGAAGCCCTCCTGGCTAATTAGTCGAAATCTTGGTCTTAGCGCCCGCAAAAAATCCAAAGTTGAAAACTCCTTTATTTTGTTATATTTTTATTTTTTATTTTTTATTTATTTTGCATCAGATTTTAATTGCGTATGCAGTCATCTAGCTATGACACAATATCAAAGAAAAGTACAGAATAGATAATTCAATGGAAAGGAAGAGCACTCATGCCTCAAATTTCATTTGCAAGTACCACTGCGAAGTTATGGCGGCTTTTCCTTCACTCCAAGTCAACTCTCATCCGTGAATACCCACCCAGGGGAACCGCTCAAAAATCCCGAGTTATCCAGACATGCCTCCATCATCTTTCAACTTTTCTCCGCGCGAAATATGGTCTGAGATGTCTTCTTCCCAAGTGGAGTAGGTGCCCAGGCTACTCAAACCATACCAGAGAACATCACCAGAAGGCAGACCACGGCACCTTCCATCGTTTGCTTGTGTTTATAGTGTCAGCTGCACTCTATCTATGTTCTACCTCGCTTAGGTAGAAACATTATGTTCTGATTACGTGAAGGAAAAACATTCACACTACCGAGATCATTACCGACCGGGACCTCACCAAAGCTGGTAGCGATCGAAGATGAGTAGTCTTTGTCTACTCCGCACTGCGTGCAGTTCGGTCTGGTATGTCTAGATTTCACCACCATTGTATAAAGCTGCGCCCCAATAGTCGATCGTAATGATGGCCATGTAGGGCTGTGCAGTACTCGCATAGGTATGTTGCACCCCTGGCACTTGGCAGAGATAAATTTAGAGTAAACGCGATAATCACATCACAACAAGCTTCCATTGTAGCATCCTAGACTTGTTATATATTTATTGTTTATACTCCATGACTATATACGGCTTGTTTTCCCTGTGGTGGGTGTGCACGGAAGAGGTTATACGCCGTAAGGGTTAACCTCGGGTGGTATCTGCAAATGAAATCTGACTGTGAGTGTTCTAATCGTCAAATTGAGTTATCCTACTTCAAGTACATATCTTCCGATAAAAACCTGCATGGGCCTCAAGGAGCCAAATCAGGTAAAATGAATTATATATATATACGGCTTATAAATGAACTTGGCCTATGGGTCAAGGAGATGTTCGCGTCAGCTGATATATTCCCTCATCTAGCTTCCAATTAACTCCCAACTTAAAAATAGGAAAATGCCTCTGGTTACGAGTTTAAAGCTTTTGAAGATAGAAAACGTAACAAATTGACGGACATGAAAGCACCATGCGAGAAATTAGTACTGAAGTGAGATATGCCAAGTATGATAGGTTACTATGAAGGGTTGACTCCGTCGATATGTCGCTTTAGCTCATTGATAAGATGGGTCTATGTTGCTGAGTACCAAGACAAATGGCTAGGTCACACAAAAATTCTTTAAATGCGTTGCGTATTTTTTCCGAGGTATAAAATATAAGTCTTGCGTTCAATGAGCATGAAAGAATATCAAGGAACCCTGAACTTATTGATATCAGCTTGAACCTTCGAACAACGGATTGTATTCAACAATATCATTAACCAGGCAATCACTGGCTTGCATCCCAGCGCCGACCTTGAATGTTCGTCTCGGAGAAGAGCGGGTAAGCTGGTAGTGTAATTTGGCGTGTAAATTAAGATAATTGTTAGTTCATTAACCAGATAAAAAAATCAGCTGGTTCGAAGCAGCGGTCTTGTTATCATTGATGGACCAGACACTCAATCTACTCAAACTCTATATAATGGAATCTGGATGATCTACCTCTAGGCCATCCGAACTCGTTGTACATATATTGTGCAGGGCTCCCGAAGCTTACTTCTCTGTCAAAAGTTTCCCGGCATTTCAATACGACCCTTAACTTAATCCGAGATGCGAGTATTGAAGGAAGACTAGAAAATAAAATAAAAAAATTGCACGCTAAATCGTTCACAAATTTGCAGTACCTAAATAGTCAGTATGCTTTAGAAGGATAGTTATGTAATAAGATTTAGTCTTGATGTCGATATTAGGGTAGCGACAAACCGAATGATTTCATCTGATTATTATATTTCAACTTGTGACCTTGCTTTAATTGGCTTTTGAGGGAAGATAACAAAGGCCAAAAGGCTCTTCTAAGTGTATGATTGAAAAATTGAGTATGAGGAAAAGTTCTATTTCAAGAGTGCTATAGATGATACAAAGAAGATGTCCTACCCATAGCATAGCTTTTCCTAGCCTATAAGCAGAAAGAACAGGCATGATATTAAAAGGCTATGCTGAGTTGAAATGACGCGACATTGAGATGAAAGTACGGGAGTAGGTAGCTATTGCTTTAAGAGAATTAAGGTTCGTGGACTTTTCTATAGCGACTTTAGTCCATGAACGAACTTGAGGATATTACCGAGTACTTTCGAGCGTGTGAGAAATATGGAGATGGTTTAAATTTCCTGCTGTATGCATTGTTTACTTTATCGCAATATTATTCCAGGGTAGGACCCTCGAATCCATTGGAATGAATTGAACTGAATGTATTGATACATCAACAAGATACTATTGGCTTACCACGTGACCTTTAGCAGCCTATCATGGTTTAAGAATCAAAAAAAAATTTAGTATAGATCTTGTTGAGGTAGCATAAACTTCCTCTGAATACACAACAGCTTTTTGAACACTAATGGATCTTCCAACGTATTTACTGGTCTAACCGAAAATTGAAGGATATCAGAGATCCTAGCGCCAATGGATGCCTCTTGGAGTCTATTAGGAAATACTTCATAATACTAATGAGTGATGATATAAATCAATCATATCTCATGGTGCTTCTGCATATTCTTCTATTTTAAATTGTTTATTATGGTGCGGTTATATTACTTCCTTGATTACAACACATGACTGACCTGATCATGGATTAATTACGGACAGTATTATAAATAAGACGAAGGAAGCCGATTTTCATTTCACTCATTTATAGCTCACGGCTGTGCTTTTAAGTCGAATGGAATCGTTGGCACAAGTCTTTGTGTTGTCTTGTGTATAGCAGGCACGAATTTCGCAATGTTTTATGATAAAGTTCTCTTATCTCTTAGCACAAGAGCCACAGCTAAATCGCCGAAACAAGAGTTTCCACTTCCCCCCACAGAAATTACCACGAATTCGGGTTTCATACATCGTTTCAAAACACATGTACTAAGACCACTGAAGTTCATGCACCTATTGTCTTACAATTCGAGTAGATATAAACATCTTGAAATTTCTTGCATCAGAATTATGGATCAACCTTTTTAGGGCATTTATTAGCTCAGTTCCCCCTGGAACCTGGATACGAAATTTCGCATGTTTGTGATTAACAGTTATTGAGGTAAAATCATATACGCACATTATTCTGTTATATCGACTTGGGCGGGTGTTTAGAGAAAAACGACCAAAAAGTGCCCTTATGGTGTATATCATCTGCTTGATGAAGATATATAAATTATATGGTTCGATGCTAGTCAAAAAGTATGTGACATTAGCTTCGCGTTGTGACAATGAGTATTTCATCATTGAAAATCCTGTCAGTTGTCCATAGTTATGCAAATCTATAGTTTACAGTAGGGTGAACTTGCACTATTATAGGAGTCAGATCATCTTCGTTGTGATTCTGAATGACTATCTATATGAGTGTCCAGATAACAGGATTTGTTTCATGTCGTCGCATACGATTTTAGTGGGGTTTTTTGCATTAATCCAAAGGGAACATAGCCCCTAATTTATTTTTCGTCAAATTCCCAATTATCAATAGAGATAAGATAAAGGTTTTATCTCGCAGGTTCACTGATGGCTAGAGTATTTTCTACGTCCTTATTCTTAGTCCCTAGGTCTTGGATCTTGTAGTTTTCATCGACTACTTCTTCCTTTGTGTCGCAAATGGTCTCGCTTTGGCTCAAGTCTTCCGGGCGTGACACCATATATTCGCGAGGACTTGTGAGAGGACTGCTCGGTATTAGATTTGTCCCGATGCTGCCACCAATGCTATCGCTAAGGTTATGACCCGCGAACCCACTTTTGATACTTCCTGCATCAGGTGCTATTGGCTGTTTCCCTGCATAATAGCTGTTTCGCTCGCTCGCCAAAGTTGTGTTAACTCCTGCCACTGAGTAAATACTACCTCTTTCGTTTAGGCCTCCAATGCTTGGGCGTGCCTGGTAGGAGTTTGTTTCTATATTAGCACTTAAGACACTCAAGGGTAGGCTTTCTCTACTTCCACCAAAGAGAGATGATGGTGCGAGAGCGCGTACGGATGCGTCTGTATCCATTGACCTTCTTCTTCTTCTTCTTTTCGATGAAGAAGCGAGTGTTAGTATAGACGCGTTGTCCGTGAGAAGGTTATTCGCCGTAGCTGTGTTATAAGTAGAAGGATGACCTCCGCTGCTCTGAGGTACTAGATATGGTGGTATCGCGTTCAGCGGAGAAGATGAAGGAAACTGGTGTGAGAATTGTATTGTTATATGATTACTGCTCATGTGGTTATTGGCTGCTATTGGAGTGGCCGAGTGTAGGGTAGTGAGCGTCGTTGTAAGCGAACGGATGGAAGGTGCAGGCGAAGAGAACGTACTGTCATTTCCCCGTCGTAAATTTCCAAATGTGCCATTTGTACCTTGTCCAGATGATGGAGCGTTGGAGGGTGCCTGAACCGAATTTGCCCGCCCAGTAGAAGTAGCTGCTATGGACTTGTTCTCAATAGTTGGAGTGATTCCTTCGTCAGAAGATTGATCAGAGCCACTACAACTAAGTGAAGAAGTACTCGAGGTTGCTGATAATGGAGTAGACGATGATCGTTGAGGGTAGACTTGTACAATGCTAGCCACATCGCGAACTGGAGACAAATTACAGTTTTTATCGGTAGAAATAGGAGGTTTTTTTACAGCCATTTTGTTCATGTGAGTATTGCGCTTGGAAGTGTTTTGGTGGTTGTCTACAGCGGTGGACGAGCTGGGCTTCAAATTTGCAAGTTTCTTCATCCATGATGAAAAAGGTCGTCGACGCCCTGTTCGTTCGACGGGATCTAAATATTTGGTCAGACACACAGACCTAAATTGAGAGCAGAAGAGGAGCCAATGACCTGCGGACAGTTCATAGGATAAATCCCAAGTTTTGTGAGAATCATACAGGATGTCTTACCGGTGATTTGTGTCGTCATCATCGCAGCCATTGAGCTTCTTGTATGAAGGTATTAGCAGATGTTCGGGTTCCGTGTAAGAGCTGACGTAGACTACAATTTTGTTAAAGAGTGTTGATATATGACCATCATATATGGCACAAAGCTTATCAAGGGCGTAGGTAACTGAAATTGCTTGACGGCATATTTCAGAGATTGATAAGGATGTTTACGAAGACAGATGACATATTTAGATCACGTGCTCAAATGTAATAAGTGAATAGGGACTGATCATATCCTTGTCAAAGATGCACGTATGGTATCACCCGGCAGTAATGTCGTCTGGGATCCCTCGTAAGCAATAAGTACGTCATCGAAGCACAGATTGATCATTATAGCATACTCATGCTAATTGACAAGCAAATTTCAACCCGCCCCTTCCTCATTTATGCAATTATGATTCCATCGGAGGAATCATCCCTGGCTGTCGGGCATGCATCTGGTTTACGACCCGGAGCCAACAGTATTGGATAATTCGGGAAGGGCACTAGTGTCAGATTCATTCCACGGTGAAAGCAACCTACCAGCAAACACTTTTATGCTTACAAGCCATTATTATGCAGATGTGAGCTTTATTTCGAAGGAGATGATTTCTATGCCGTTCTCTTACCCTGGCGTAAACAGGAGGCTCTGATCGTTGTTAGTTGTTCAATGAGTCACTCATAGATGTGTCCCTGATTTTCAACGCCCCGTATTATTTCTATGATCAACAGGCTCTTATTATCTTGTGGGGATCAAATATGAATAAGATTTCTCGAAAGTTTGCAATTTAGCCGTATGAGAAATGCGCAACATCAACTTGACCCCATGAACCTGGAGATAGTAAAGCCGTGCGAGATTAGTCCTCAAGGTTTCTTTTAGAAGCACACACCTCCAGCGGAAAAAAATGTACGCCAACTTGTGAGTTAATAATCATTTCATCTTGCAGTCCACATTACAATTTTGCGGAATGCATAACATGAACGCTTCGCCATGCTAAGACAGTTGGCATTGAGGATATTAGAGCGTGATAAGGTTTCCATTAAATACTTATTTGCATCTATATATCTGATTTCGAGTCTTTTTTAGCATTATGAGTGACTATCACAATCATATTGTCAATTTACCTCTGCCTAGGGAGTTTATTCGATAATACTCCGCTAGCAGAATCTTAACATGGAATAATTACAATCTACAAATCGTGGAATGCTCAGAGAAGCAAGGAGATCGATTTGATTCTTTGGCACCATTTGTTGATACATACCGCTAATTTTTTCAATTCTAATGACGGTTTTCTATTTGAAACATCGCGATCATATGTTGTCGTGCTGCGCAATTATTGCCGCTACAGCTTTAGAACTTACTCAAAGACCTTAATCTAGGTTCAGAAATAATTGAATAGTGTGCGCTGATTTGGAAATTTGATATTCCGCCTCAATAGATCAATGCGTTTTGCAATATCGATCGTACAAGCATTGGAGTGGTCAGGATGCCTCCCCTGTGTACACTTGACACCAATTGAAACAATGATCGGCGGTAGATTTGTCGATCAGTATCTCCTACGCGCAAAGTTGGTGTTACTTTTTACGGTCATTTGGTCTGATGGTATGCGTCTTTATAATATTGGATTAGAAAATACCGATCGGAAGGCGCAGTGGAACATTACATAGACCGGTCTCTGGAGTAGAGCCAGGGCATTTCAGGCACCTATCCCACTCAAGATATCATACTTCCAGGAGTTATTTGCAGCATAATGAAAGTATGCTTTTGTGTCATAGCTAGATAGCTGCACACGCAATTAAAATCTGATGCAAAAAAAAAAAAAAAAAAGGTATGCTTTGGTTACAAGAGGTTGCAAGATTTTCATTGAGTGGATGGTCACAGGTAGAGGCCGAGCTTAATTTAATTTGATAACTTTCACATATGTAAATGGTGTGCCTGGTGGCTCATACAGATCGGGCTAGCCAGCATGTGGTCTTTAGGTTGAGTTATCTGTTCTGTACTTTTTAATTGATCATGCGCCAAGGCTTGATGACTGAATTAACAAAATAATTTTAGACACAAACCACAAATCCTATCTATCGTTCCATGAGTTTCTCATCCGTTCTCTTTCCCCCCACAGCATTTCAACTGCCTGTTCAATCTGGAGCTGCTCTATCAAATTATAATTGATGATCTAACATTTAGTTAATTTTTCGTCGCAAGGATGATTAATAATTGCTTTCGAAACAACAAAATCTAGTTCGTCTCTAAGTTTATATGCCATTTGACCATACAGTGCAGCAGATAATCATGTGCGTTATTTTCTCCAGAGCTTATTTCCGTATGCAGCTTGCTAGGTTTGGCACACTATTAGAGAAATAGTACGGAACACATGACTCAATATAAAGAAGAGCACTAATGCCTCAGATTTCATTTGCGGGTGCCACTACGAAGTTGTGGTGGCTTTTTCTACACCCAAAGTAGAAGTTGACTAAAAGGGTGTCATGTTCGGATTAAAGCTAAAAGTGTGGGAGATGTGCGCTACAAGTACAAGTGTAAGCGACACAGATTTATTAAATCAAGTAACTGTATTAATTTACCAAAAATAGAGGACAGCTTAATTTCATGTAGGAATACACAAGAGGGTGTGTGCCTAGAATGAAGTAACATAATTTGCACAAATGGATATAAAATGAATAAAAAATTTGAGAAAAATGTACCTGATGAAGGACAATTGTAATTTAGAACATTTAATTAGATAGAAGTGTCATAGCTCTAGAGCTGCATACACAATGAAATAAAAAAAATAAAAAAAGCGACACAGAGCCTAAGCCACAGCATAAACGAGTGTGGCGCCATCTAGGCATAGAAAACCCCCAATAACCTCCTTGCGCCCACGCCATACAGCCGCTCATGTCTCCAATAGATAGCCTGAAGCGCTACCATATTACCTATTCCATTTTCTTAAATATACACGAGATCGTGTCGGGAACCTAGACGAAATAGAGGGCCCGTAAGTCCACAACACTCCGTGTCTCCATTTCCAACAGGAACGTCTCAAAAACCCTGAGTTATCCAGATATGCCTCCATCATCCATTTAATTTTCTCCGCGCGAAATGTGGTATAGGTGTCTTCTTCCCAAGTGGAGTAGATACCCAGGCTACTCAAACCATACCAGAGAACACCACCAGGAGGCGGACCACAACATCTTCCATCGTTGGCTTTTTTTTTAAATCATTTAATGTGTATTCAGCTATCTAGCTATGACACATGACCGGCGCTATGTATACATGTGGGATGCCTCTTTTGACGTTAGAGACACTCATACTCTAGATTTCATATGCAAATACTACTATGAGGTATGTTCGCTTACACAAACAGTCGATCCTCCTCCGTTAGTACCCACTAAAGGGAATTTAAAAACCTTTGATTATCCAAGCATGCCTCACTCATCCATGTATACCAGCGCAACGAGAAAAGTGGTTGTGTTTTGCCGGACTTGATGCAGCGATCTACTGTCTCAAGTGGGATATGTGTCCGAGCTATCCAGACTCTACTTGGCAGACCGGTCAAGACGATGTACCACCGCACCATCCAACCATGGCAGTTTTTATAGTGTTGCCTACACTCTCGCTGCCGAAGACTTGGCACGTACAAAGCTCAATTTATAAAAACTCCTTTCCAATACACAAAATTCCACGCTCGTCGAGATAGTATTCATCCTTCGCATCATCTTGTTATCTTGTCCTTAATCCTCTCACGCCAATCCCACAGAACTGTCTCTCAGATTTGTGCGCCACTCTTTGTGTCCTCCGTCGGGTGTAAATATTGGCGTGGGCGTGTATTTGGTGATCGGCTAAGGCCAGAGAAAGTCGACGAGAGGTGTGGTCATTGAAACGAGGATGTAATAGGTCCTACTTGTAGACTTGATGAGGCTTAGGTAGGAGTCAAACTCGTTAGGAGCGAAAAAAAGACGAGAAGGAGTAATTTGAATCATTGCCTCGTGGGCCAACTTCTTTGATATTGCGAAATTTGACTGAACTTGGCTCTGGGAGAATATTTCACTCCCAGGTTGGCAGAGGACACCGCGTACAGGTGTTCAGTCTTGCCCTCCTTCGGTTATTTCACTGATTATCAAGCCGGCAGCATATCAAGGAGGCATGTAGCTCAGGTGGAAGTATCGCACGGTAAACTATATCTGAAGCTGCTACGTATTGTAGTAGCTAAAAGAATACTGCTATTCGGAAACTATAGCTCCATCCCAGAACCATGAGATAAATCAGGCTATGCACGCTAGATATAGAATGGCTAGCGGATATGGCGAATATGGGGGTAAATACGTAGATATATAAAGACATTGTAGCTTCTAAATTGTAGGACGAGTCTTCAAACAAAATTATATCGGAATCAATCCTAGCCTCTCATAAAGCAATCTTATGAATCTATTTCCGTGCCTGTGATAACAGACCAATATACAAAGTCGACGATCAAGTTCAAAGTCGATTAGAAGGCCACTGTTGTGATCAGGCCCACTTATAGATCACACTAATTGGAATGGCTATTATTAGGCAAGTGTAAACGACAGGACAAGCAATCCTCTGTCAATGATAGGTCATCGACACACAGCAATAACAACACCTGTATCTCAACTATACATGATAATATGACGCATGTATATCTAAGGACAAAGTTGTTCAATGGTTGAATGGTTCGGAGTGATTGCTATTGATGGTATATTTTATGTATTGTCTTTGTGTATAAATACTCGCTGCTAGACCTCTGTACATGATCAACCTTTTCCACTCTTATATTCAATAGTCATCAATATAGCAGATCTACAA